GGTGACTTAAGCTAGCCATACACAGCTCAAGAAAGTCAAGTGGTTCTCCCATCAATGCTTTAAAGTGTGGATGGGGGTATCTCCATTTCCACCTATTGTATTTAGCAGCCTGGATACAGTGGCACTGCCAAACAGTGACTGCATCTGTTGAGCTGGATAATGTTTGCTGGACCACATCAAATCCAGCAGAAATTGGGTGAAATACCAGCCTCCTATGGCCAGCCAAAGCAAACCCCAAATGAAATCAGACAGATTAGTGTAAAAACGCAGTCATCCAAAGTGTCAGTTGTTGAAGACTGTAGTGGTGGTTTGGGTTTAGCTCTGCAAAAAAGCATTGAGGGAGGTGGTACTTGTTGATTACATTTTCTTCATTAAAATATTCTGGAGATTCTACAATAATTTTTAAAAAATCAGTTCCAATAAAGTAAGTGTGCCTAGACATGAGATGAGCATCTTGGAAGAACAATGTCACCAGGTCTGCTGCAGAGGATGTATTTTCATATGAAAGGGGGGGACTCTGATGTGAAGGGGAAACTTCACATCAGAGAAACTCTGCTTTAAGGCAGCACCTAAAAGACAACTGCCCTTCAGTACATAACAAAACAATTTTTTTCTATTATAATTAATTTTATTATTTCCTTTTTACTTTGTCTAAGCTTGGCACCTAACTAAAGTTTGAGGAGCAACTACCTGGGTTCACACACACTGTATACGCTGGAGACGGGAGACAGTGTGTGTGGAGGTTGACAGGCCAGCAACTGTCAGCCTTCAGGTGATCTCAGACCTTTTGACTGCCTCAGCAATGACAGAAATATATATATATAATCCCTATTAACTCATGGGGTGGCATTATCATGTGTTCAATGTTGTTTAACAGCATATTCCAGAAAGTGAAACTTGAATGAATGAGTTATGCTTTTAGGCCTTTTATTGATCGATTCCACTTCCATGTTATATACGATAGAAAAAATGTAATTTTCCATGTATGTTGTGGAGGTCAAAAAGGAAAATTGGAATGGGAAAAAAAAGCTTTTATAAACAGAAAAAGAACATATAGCAGTCATAAATTAAGATGATTAACAAAAGAATGACACACATTTCAACGGTTATGTAGTGGGAAGGACAAACTTTATGATGTATAAATGAATTATCCATCACTATCTAGCTCACACAGGGCCGCAACATAAGCAGTTATAAGCTGCCCGTAATCAAAATCATGGTAATATATGATCATCTACAAGTAATAATTTAACACAAATGCGCTTATTTTTTTTGGCCTCCTTCACTGACCTAAACTAGCTCACCATCCCCATCCTTGGATGCATACTTACCTCAACAAGGGCATACAAAAATTCTGTGTTGCTAAACACATTATACAAGCTGTGAGTAGAATGCCCAGTTTTTGATCCTGCATTTTTCAGACACTGTGCAGCCCCTGGAAGCTGATTTCGGCCATTGCTACCATAAATGCAGGTAATCACATGGGAAGGCTTGGCTCCCAGGGACCTGGATGTGCTGACAATATCATGAGACCCCCCTCTATGTTTCCATGTTACTTTACCCAAGTTGACTTTGACACTGCATGCTGAAATATGTTTATATAGCATAATACCATGTTTGTTCCCATTAGGGTTTTTTTTCTGCTCACTTCTTGTCCATCCCACAACACAGTAAGTAAGGGAAAAAAATAGGTTTTGGCTTTTGGGCTGAATTCGCACCTATGCATTTTCCCCCGATGCATTTTCTATTGAAATCAATAGAAAAGCATTAAAACGCGTCACCTCACGTTAATGTCCATTGTTGCACATTGTTATTGCGCGTTGCAATGCACTTTGTATGAGATGCCTATGTGTGTCACAATGCACACCGCGCACGTTTACACGCATCATGAAGCATTCCTGTGGTTCATGATGTGCCGACGCACATTTTTTAAAATATTAAATGTTTATTTCATTTTCCAAAAATATAATATAAAACAATTCAGTACTGGAAAAGTGCAACAAAGAGTGGACATACTGGTAATGTCAGAAAAACTTTAGGGAGATCACATAAATTAAGAGGGGGAAGGTGGGAATTTAAGAAGACAGAGTAGTGGAGGGTAGGATAGTGCGGGGCAGAGATTATGAAGCAAACTAAGATCAAGGATCATGCATCGTCTAACAAAGCACAGTAACAATGGCAATATACAACCCATTAGGGTCATCAGGTTGAACATACAGCTAACACAAAAGATATCAGATAACTAGAGGGGTCAAAACATTAGGTGTTTATTGGCAGGCCATGGTCCATAGGTACAAAGTCAAATATTTAAAAGCAATCCAATCAGCCCATATTTCAGTTAATGTGTTCCGGCAAGCATTTTAAAGCATGAATTGATGCATTTGCTTGTGTTTACATCGATTTCAATGGAAAAAGCAGTAAGCAAAAATGCAAAGGTGTAAATAGTCTCCTGTCCTGTGATAACCTCAGGGTATAAGAGGACAGGAGCAGAGGGAAAATCTCCCCAGTGGGCACACTGAGAGCAATAACTAACCTGACTCAGGTTCTAACCTGCCCAACTCTATCCAAAACTGAAAAATATCATGATGGTGGATGCAGGAGATTATCAAGTGATTAAGCTATAACTCTAATGGAATGCATTTCAAACGCTCTCCTGCATAAATGGCTAAACATGAACGAAACGAGTTAGCTGGCAGAAGTGTGTGGCGGAAGTGTGTGTTGAGATGTTTGGTGTAGCAATGCCTCTGTAAGCCTTAAAGCTAATTAAATTAACACATTTATGTCAAATAAAGAGAAATAGGTCTCCAATGAAAGCTGGACTTATGTTTATAAAGCTATTTCACCTTGGTACTCATATTTTGGGTGTTGCTGACAGGCCGGGGAGCCCTCAGTTAACATATGCACTGCTAGTTGTCATCACAAGCATAACAGACATCACAACACAGATTACTTTACAGAACCTTCAGTGTTCTGTTCCCTAGAGGCCAGATTCCTATCCTGGTTGTACCAGTTCTACCTCCCGTTATTTACATACGCTCCGTACAATCTGTTTATGCATTCACTGGAAGCCAAAAGTTAAACAGTTCATCACTTGCACTATGCAGAATTCCAGAGTCCCGGCTCGTTCCTGCAGATAAAATTAACATGCTTCTTGTCAATTTCTACAGAGCATCCAGGTGCAATGAATTATGGGAGAACACTGCATTCTCCACTCTTAATCGTCATGTGTATTATTTGAAACAAGCTGCCAGCTCCAGCGGCATAAACCGACAAGGCTTGTTTAGTGCGCCATGTATTGTAGTCAGAGAGGTCACCAGCACACACAAAGTACAATTTCAATATTCCGTCACTATGTCGCTCTGATGAAGGGTCCCTGCGAGGTCCCGAAACGTTAGCCCCTGAAGACATGACGTGACATTCTTCAATAAACATACCAACAAAATATTGAATTGTACTTTGTGTGTGCTGCTGACCCACTGTGATTACTTTGAGTTTTGCACTGCGCCATCCGTCCGATCACCATGAGTACCACCAATAATGCGAGATTGTAAGAACGTAAGGAGTGCAGGTGGTTTTTGGAAACAACCATATATTGTAGTTCTACTTTACACTGTCAAGGTATATTGAGCAAAAAAAAAAAAAAAGTAAATGATCAGCCAACCTAAAAATAATACTTCAGTCATAGGTGGATGCTGATGAACTGAAATGACCCCATTGTTTTGAAATATCTGTTGGGACCTAAAAGTGAACCTATGTATATACAGTACACATGAAGATATATCAACAGTTTTGCTAGGATGGATTTTAAAAAAAAAATGCTACTCTGGGATCCCTACTGTGAAAGAAACCAGTGAAGGTCATGGTATTTGGTCCCATGATGTCTGCTGAAAGGAAGGATAAGCCAATCTAATCAGCAATCCCACCCTTCACCATGGATCACCTGGCGATGTCCCTAGACAGTTCATCATGTGGTAAGCACATGTGGCCAAGACAACCTAAAGTAGCAATTCTTTATAAAAACATATTTCAGCCCTGTTGCCTTTTAACACTTTTATATATTCCAGTAAGACCAATAAAACAGCTTTAGGTTTGAATATAGGAACACTTCAAGGGGTGAGTTGCTATCTATAACTGTGTGCACAGTGGAGTCTCCTGCCTCAAGCAAGAAGTTTACTTTATTGGAAAACCGCTCTCCTGCAAATACTCAACTTTCCTTTACTAGCCACTGCTCCAGGAACAAAGAGAAATACCCAGTACGTTTAGCTATAGGGATCATGTGACTCCTTTTCTAGCATTTGGCCCAGCACTGTCACAAAAGTCTACAATGACCATGACAAGATGGGCTCTAGCATTAACATCTCACATCTGCAGTTCGATGAAAAAGCTTTTCTTTATTTCATTATTAATGTAAATCTGAACTGTGGAAGCTGTTCCCCAAAAACGTCAAACAGGGTGCAAAGGGCTAGTTACTACCGTAGTTCTGTCTGCAAGCTACCTGCAGCTGTTTTTTTCTGCACTGTGTCTCTGTGTGGAGGCAGCCATCTTGGCTGAAAAGCAGGGTTTTGCTTTCTTATGTCAGATCTGTCCCCCTAAAGACTGGTGACCTGATGACTGGTTGGATAATATTCAAGAAGCAGCAGGAGAGGTGAAGAAATCACTGATCAACATAATGAGTAAAGCAGTAGAAGGGGGTCCTTGCTCTGCAGGTCCTCAGCTACAGCTTCCTCCACAGCAATGAAAACAGTGAGCAGCATAGTGGTGACATTATCAGATCTTAATCAAAATCTCATGGGAGTAGTCAACGAAAACAGCAGTAGCTTAGATGATCTCACACTGCAGATTAACAGCTATGAGCTTCAATGCAAATGCATAGAAAGTACACAGCTATGTTTTCTTAGGCACAATTACATTTCCAGATGTTCCCTTTAAGTAAGCTAATCTTTACTTTTTGAGTTTATGTCCATTTTAATATTTCTCCAAAGTAAAAAATAAAGTCTTACCTGTAACATGGTAGTTGACTTGCCGATTAATATCAGAGGTATCATCATCCCAAGTACTGAGTATTGCCACCACCTCCCCTGGAGCATCACTTTCTTTTATAGATCCTTTGTACACTTGTTGCTCAAAGATGGGACCATTGTCATTGACATCTGTAATGGTTACTGAAACAATGGCAGAAGAAGAAAGAGAAAGTGTTTCTCCAAGGTCTGCTGCTACCACAGTAAACGTGTAAGTTGGATTCTTCTCATGGTCTAGTTCTTTTAGTGTGCTGATCCAGCCATTATTTGAATCAATTGTGAATGTTTCTAAAAGTTTGTCATTATCCCTATCAGATATAAGACTGTAAGTGACTTGTCCATTGGCTCCCCAGTCTGCATCAAATGCTTTCACTTGCATAACATTGGTTCCCACAGGCATACCTTCCATTATTACAGCCTCATAGTGTGTTGAGTCAAAAAATGGCTTATTGTCATTCAGATCCAAGATCTTAATTTCTACGTCAACGGTTATTAAAATGTCCACTTTATCTAAAGGTATACTGGCTGCCACTTTGAAATGGAACACTGGTGTTGTTTCATGGTCAACCTTTTTGTCTAGTTTTAACATTCCACTGTATTTGTCAATGATAAAAATATTATCCTTGTTGTTTTCTGGAAATTCGCCATTTACTGTGATGAACAGTGAGTCTTGGACTGGGGTAAGCTGAAATGAATCTATGATAGTTCCTATCACAGTATCTTCTGGCACTGCAAAGGTGTACTGATGCTGGGAGAACACAGGTAGGACAGTTTCTGAGGGAACAACATGAATGTACACAGGAATAAGGGAGTGTTTCATCGGAATGCCACCATCTACAGCTTTTACAAAGAAGGAAAGCACTGTATTTTTCAGCTGGTTAAAACTGCCTTTTGTAACCATCCAGCCATTGTCTGGATCAATTTCCAGAAGGTCTGCTACAGACACAGAGGCCTCACTGTAAAGCGAGTAAGTAATTCTGGAGTTTGCCCCATCATCTGCATCAAAGGCTTGGACTTGGGTGACAAGATGGCCCTTCTCAACATCTGCCTTCACACTTGCTCGATATTCAGTAGCTTTGAACTGTGGAGCATTGTCATTTTCATCTACAACTAGAACTTGGACAGTGCAGAAGGCAGCTCGCCCTCCGCCATCCACAGCACGCAGAAATATATTGATATCCTGCTCAAGTGGATTCTCTCTGTTGAGTTTCTCTGTTGTAACAATTTGGCCCAACGAGTCAATGGAAAACCGATTTTTGGCTATGTCGTTTATTATGGTGTAGGTTACATGCCCATATATGCCTGAATCTCCATCGGTTGCTTTGACATAAATTACTTTGGTTCCAATAGGAGCATTCTCTCTTACTTCAGTCACATAAACACTCTGTGCAAAGACAGGGCTAAAAAGATTTGCTCCGAGAATCTTTATGTGCACCTGTGCTGTACTGGTAAAGAGTCCATCAGAGACAGAAATGTTTAAGCTGTGCATTGGCTCCATTCGTTGCTTGCGGTGACTAGACAGAGTGATGACACCACTTTTGCTATCCATAACAAAGTTCATGCGGTCATTGCCAGACAGAATACTGTACTCCAATCTATCAATGTCCGTGCTGTCTGCATCAGATGCTTGGACACAGGTGACAAAATGGCCTCTAGGTGCAAGCTCACTAACATAAGACTCATAAATCAACTGATTGAAAATTGGAGGGTTGTCATTTAAATCTGTTATGTAGATTGTAACTAGCACCTCACTGCTGAGTGACGGGAAACCATTATCTGTTGCCCTGATTTTCAAGATGCTTTGCTGTGAAACCTCATGATCTAGTAATCTAGCTGTGAGTATCAAACCGCTTGTGCTATCAATATGGAATGAATCGGTGTTGTTGAACATGTCCTGAACAATCTGATACCTTATGACTTTATTATTGTCAGAATCCGCATCCATGGCAACAACTTGCAAGACTGGTGTCCCTATTAAAGAGCTTTCTGAAAGGGTTGCATTGTATGATGGAAACTGGAACACTGGAGGGTTGTCATTAACATCGCTGACACTGATGTCAACGATAACCTCGGCCCTGGCACTGGTAAGTGAGTCACTGGCTCGTACAGTCAACTTAAAGGATGGGTTTAATTCAAAATCCAATGGACTCACGACACTTAGCACCCCAGTGTCAAAATCTATATTAAACTGGTTAAATGGATCTCCATCAACTATCGTGTAAATAATCCCCTGCCCTTCTGGGCTTGTGGCATTAATACTTAAAATGGGTGTGTTCATTTCAACATCTTCATTTACTGTAGCTGTATAAAAGGCCTTATCAAATACTGGCATGGCTTTGTTGACAATGGTAACTGGAAGCTCAATGGAAGCAGTTAGAGAAGGATCACCAAGATCTTTGGCAATTATAATGAGTATGTACTCCAAGTTGGAGATGTCGGAGTCAAACGTTTTCATCAATGTCACACTGCCATTCTGCCGGTCAATTTCAAAATGGCCATAGTCATCTTCCAAATAAAAGGTTAACTCTCCATTTTTTCCCTTGTCCTTGTCTATGGCATTTACTTTGTAGATGAGAGTCCCGGGTTCAGCATCAACCTGTACAGCTGCATAGTATGGAAGACCTACAAAAACTGGAGCATTATCATTTATATCTTCAATATTGACCTTGACAACAACCCGTGCCACGCGGAGAAGATCTAATTCACGACTCGCTTCTACTACTAGCTCATAAACCTCCTCTTTTTCTCTATCAAATGAGATTCCCGTGGTTTGGATAACTCCAGAAGTAGACTTGATCTTAAATTTATTTCCTGGGTTTAATATTGTATATTTTATTGGCTCATTGAGGCGGTGACCCACCGCATTCACCACAGCAATGTTTGTAATATTGGTAGTGTTTTCTGCTATAGATGCAGAATAAAAGTCTTGGGTGAAATGTAGACCACTGTCCATGGCTTCTTTTACTAATATAGTTACAATGGCAGTGCTATAAAATTTCCCATCCGATACTTTGACCATTAGCATGTAATGATCTTTAGATAAACTGCTGTTTTTTACAGTAATCACTCCACTGTTAGAGTCAATTACGAAATGGTTTAAGTTTCCTTCTGTCAAGGTGTAACTCAGCTCTGGCGGAATGGCTAAATCAGGATCACGAGCACTGACCTGCAGGACTTCAACGCCAACATAGGTTGGTAGAAGTAGCGTTGTTTCAAATACTGCCTCTGTAAACACCGGGGGGTTATCATTGACATCACTTACATCAATAGAAACTTCAACAGGGCTTTCAGCAGTGAGTTGGGGACTTCCACTATCTCTTACATGCACATGAAAATGGAAATATGCTATGGTTTCATGGTCCAGATAGGCTATAGTCCGGATCGCACCAGTGCTGGAATCCACAGTGAAGTACTTCTTTGCTGTTGATTCAACAATCTGGTAGACAAGTAAGGCGTTCTGGTTGCTATCAGCATCAGTTGCTTTTATGACCAATGGGGATTTGTCAGAGCTCCGTACTATGCTGTTAATTGGTGCTGCTTCACTGATACTACCAATATATTGGGAACTGAGGAACACCGGTGCATTGTCATTCTGGTCAAGAATCTGGATATTGACAGTGGTGTTGGAAGCCATGCCTGCCATGTTTGTAGCTTGAACAATGAGCTGGTAAGATGGTATTTGTTCATAATCAAGTGCTTTTTGAGTTGTTATCACTCCTGAATAGGGATTAATGGTAAAGGCTCCTTCAGAATTCCCAACTCTGATCTCATAAACTAGCGTGGACTGGCTTATTGCTGACACTAATACAACTGGCGTTCCTACATCCACGTTTTCTTGAACCTCAGCCTGGTACTCGTTCTGTGTGAACTTTGGGTTCGAATTGTCTGACATTGACAAAGAAATCCTCACAATGGCAGCAGCAGAAAGAGGTGGACTCCCACGGTCAGTTACTTTGACAGACAACACAAACTGACCCATCGTGGACATGTCTGGTTCCTTGGCAACAGTGATAATGCCCAATATTGGCTCAATTTTAAATGTGTTTGCAGTGTTCCCTGCAAAAAAAAAAGAGAGAGAATAAAAGTTACAACAAATGATACATGACATCAGTAAAAACATTCAGCCATCCAATTTTCTGGCACTCAGACACATCAATTTATATATCATGCTCAATACAGCCCTACAACACAAGGACGCTCTGTTACAAGATGGATGGCAGGTTACTGTATGTCATCCGTGTTAGATGATTTGCTTAGTGGGGTGTGAAGGATCAGGTCATTCATGACAATTTGTTTCCAGAGCTGAACGTGTGCTTTATTATTTGCAATTACAAGAACACAATATACTGGAGCAGTTCAGCAGGACATGAAGTCTTACAGAAATACTTCCTGATTCATTTTCATGTTTTTTTATTTAGTGAATCAGGTCCTTCCAGACATTCATCCTTATATAACAGCACAGGACGGCAAAGCACAAAAGTTTTCTATGCTTTATCTATAATAAGGGAGGAAGAGCTTTAAAAACCTATTGATGCCTTGTCAATGCAAATGCCTTTTAGGGTAAGTGGTTGTAAACCAATTATGTAGATCCAACGGAAAGAGGACTAAACTAAAAGCAATCATAAGAGGTCGCTGGTTGCTCCAGTCTGACTTTCTCAAGTCACTGGCCTTGAAGGGACCTGCTCATTATTCTACATGACTCTCAGAGAACGTCACCTAGGGTTTAGGAGAGGCCATGGTTTTAAAAGGCCACATCAGGCATCAAGTGTAAAGAAAGTGTGTGACTGGAAGTGATTGATCAATGTGAAAGCATGTGTCTTTATTCAAATAAAACAAAGTACCTTGTATAGATATAGACTTTGTAATAATAATAATAATAATATACATATACACATATGTGTATCTATATA